ACAGAGGAGGAGGAACGTATTTGCTACCAAGTGTTTTTCAAATGGTGTCGTCAGAAGGCTGACATACACAAAGGCCATGTGTTCAATTCCTTGTGGGCAGAAATTTCAATAATCCTGAACCAATGCCTGAGTTATGCATTTAAGAGGGAGTTTACTATTTCTATAGTCCGGCAAAAGATTCAGCGACTCATAAATTATTTAGATGAATTTACTGCTTTCCTGATGATTCCAGGCATCCTCTTGTGTCGTGATACAGGCTTTGCTAGGGTTAACCACATGTACTGGGTGTATGTGGGGGAGGAGGTAAATTGCATCTGATTTTTTATTATAGTTTGTTCAAGCATGCATTTTTGTGACGCGGCCATAATAACCTAAAAAGATTTAAATTTATTACACAGGAGACCGACACTCAGGCATTTTTCTGTTCGGAAGGATTCCCTTGGTATGGTGAGTGTTACGAGGTTTTTACCGAGCACAACGCAGCGGCGATAAACTTGGAAGTCATCGATCTCGACCCTTAGAATCCACTGGACATGTAATCAAAAGTTGTTTGGCTTATTTTGTTGGACTGACTGCAGTAATAATAAATATTTTTTTCTTATGTCAAGTACGTGTTTGTTTAATCATGATTTATATGTCAAAACAAAACAATATGTTGCATGGACAATTAAACTATTAATGTCTGTGAACAGAGTTTTTCCAGCAAAATCAACGATAATATTCGAAGGGAAAATATTATTGAAACGAAATTCGCAGAAGTGTGAACAAAGTGCGATGATCGCATTGTTCTCGCATAACGTAATGAAAAAAAATAAATAAAAGTAATTTATATTTTTTAATCGCATATCCAGGCCAGATCAACCGCATCATCATTTAGGATATGTGAAAAACTGTCGTGTAATTAGATTATCGCATATCCAAACTGCATCATTTATGAGTATGCAACTATGCGGCATATGTTCGCATTATTTACGATTCGCATATCCAAATCTATAAGGCTTAGATAACTATCGCTTATGCGTTATGTTTTTGCATAGTTACGAATCCATATCCATGGGCTTAGATAACTATCGCTTATGCATTTGGCACGAAAAAAATAAGAAAAAAAAAAAGAAAAAGAAAGAGTCATGGGCTGCAACAGCTGCCAATCCATGGGGGCTCTAGTGTACAAATCCAATAATTTTCGTATCTAGACGAGCACAAAAGGCTAAAACCCGCGGGTTGTGACGGAGCTGCCGTTCCCTACTCTAAAAAAAAAAAAGAGAAAGAAAAGAAAAAGAGAGAATAAAAAAAAAGAGAAAAAAAAAAGAAAAAAAAGGAATGAGACATTTAGACTTCGGCTAGAAATAGAAGATAACTAGACTTGTTAGCAAAGAGAGGGGTGTCATGAGTTGCATTGATCGGAGCATTCGTTATAGAAATTGACAAACTATGGTGGTCACTTGGATTGATACTTGATGCGTTTGCGTTCTTAGAATGATTTCATCTTGAGTCCGAATAATTTATTTTGAGTTGTTTGAGCTATGCACTCATGCGAGAATTGTGAGGCCTTGAGCAAATATTCCACGTATTTGTTTTCTTATCCATCTATGTGGTTATAGTTCTAAGTTGCTTTGGTGACAAGCAACAGTTTAAGTTTGGGGAGATTTGATTGGTCGAAAAAAGTGTGTATTCTATATATTTATTAGCGTATTTTTATATGTTTAATTTTATCGCACTTATATATTTTTCGACTTATTTATTATTTAGATGAATTCTATTGCTTTGATATTTTTATGGTTATTTTCAGAATAATGGAATATTTTCATGGGCGTGACACCGAACGAGAATTGAGTGGGCCAGCATGGGGCGCCCACACCAGCTCAACTTAAGCCCAAACGTTAAAAAAAAAAGAGTAAAGGCCCATTAAATTGAAGGATTTTGACTTTCTTAATGGATATTGGGCCAAGAATTTAGTTTATTAAAGTCCTGCAGAGACTTACACGCAAGCATGGGAATTGAGGGATTTATTTGGCAGCATTATTTTATTGAATTGTGGAGGATTTATTTGGGGGAAACAATAAATATATAGCCACCAGGCGTAGAGAAAATAGGGACGGAACAAGAGGAAAAGAGGCAGATTGAAGCAACAGAGCTGACGCACTGATAGAGACGAGAGAACTAGGCAATCGCGGAAAGAGGCCGCACCTGTACACGAGGGAGATAATTAATCTCTCTCTATTTTACCTATTGTTTCTTTTTATTAATATGCTAGAGTAGATTTTATTCTAGTTTCGGGGATGTCGAACCCTACGACTTGATGATGTTTGATTAATTTACGTGGTTAATTATTGAAGTATCTTTTTGAAATTGCTTGTGTTATTTTGAATAATTCACCATGATGTGTTGAGTTGGATTTAGATTGATCACCTAGATTAGGCTTTACATATCTACACCTGAATTAGGCCTTCAATCCGTAATTGTTGATGTGTTTAATTCGCAAGTGGTATCCGGAAGATGGTAACTACCGTGGATAACACGGCCTATTTAAGTGAACGAACGCGGTTGAGTTCACTACTTAGTCTAGCCTATTTTTCTAATTCGTAAAGTGGCTGATTGTATTAAATCTAAGAAGCGTTTCTAGACTGTACAAGAAGTCAGGTCTAATCGTAGAGCGTATCGCGGTTAGATTAAAAATAAGGAAAAATTCGGGTAACAGACCGTGTCGTTATCTATGGCTAGTAATTTCATAAGATAGCGAGATTTGATACCAAAGTTGATTAGACGAGTCAGCCGAAGGTGTAGACGGAACCGTGAACTAGAAATTTCTATTATTTATTTAATTTTTATTTTTATTTCGTTTGTTTAGATTTTATTTGTTTTATTAGAATTTCAATTAGTTTAGTTATAAATCCAATCCCCCCCATTTATTGCTTTCTTAATTTCAATTAATACAAAGAAGCCACAATTTGATTCACACTCCTTGTGGGTTCGACCCTTGCTCACTACTACTACTAGTTGGTAGAAGTCCGTTAAGGAAAATATAAATTTTAATTTTGCCGCGTTGCGACGCGCGGTCAAACTTTGAAAAATTTGACCGCGCATCGCAACGCGGCGAAATTAAATTTATATTTTCCTCGACTAACCTCTACTAGCTAGTAGTAGTGGCAAGTAAGGGTCGATCCCACAGGGAGTTTGTATCAAATCGTTAATTTTCTTGTATTAATTGAATTATAAAAGCAATAAAAATAGGGGGTTTTGAATTTAAGAATTAAATTAACTAAAATCCTAATAAAGAAAATAATATCTAAACAATGAAAATAAAAATAAATAAATGAAGAAAACTTTCTAATTCACGGTTCCGTCTACACCCTCGACTGACTCGTCTAATCAACTTTGGTATCAAATCTCGTTATCTTATGAAATTACTAGCCCTAGGCAACGACACGGTCTGTTACCCGAATTTTTACTTATTTTTAATCTAACCGCGAGATGCTCTACGATTAGACCTGACTTCTTGTGCAGTCTAGAAAACGCTTCTTAGATTTAATACAATCAGCCGCTTTACGAATTAGAAAAATAGACTAGACTAAGTAGTGAACTCAACCGCGTTCGTTCACTTAAATAGTCCGTGTTATCCCCGGTAGTTACCATCTTCCGGATACCACTTGCGAATTAAACACATCAACAATTACGGATTGAAGGCCTAATTCAGGTGGAGATATGTAAAGCCTAATCTAGGTGATCAATCTAAATAAGACTCAACACATCATGGTTAATTACTCAAATAACACAAGCAATTCCAAAGAGATATTAAAATCATCAACCATATAATCAATCAAAACATAGTCAATCGTAGGGTTCGACTTCCCTGGAACTAGAATAAAATCTACTCTAACATAATAAATAAAAATAAATGCTAGATAAAAGAGAGAGATTAATTATCTCTCTTGTGTAGGGGTGCGGTCTCCCTCCGCAATTCGTCGGGCTCCTCGTATTTTCTCTGTTCTCTGTTTCGTATGGTCTTTGTCTGCCTTTTGTTCCCTCTTTTTCTTTTTTCTGTGTGGCGGCTCTCTATCTCCAAATAAAAGTGGGTGGCTGGTCTTCTTTTGTTACGTAATTAATTCTTATGCAAGTCTCCCTCCTTTCCAAAACTCTTACCAAGTCTGATTAAATAATATGTAGGTTCCAAAATTAATTAAATCCTCCCAGCAACACTTCCATGCAATTGGGCTGTAACACCCCACTTTGATTTTAAAGAAATTCCGGACTTTCCAAAAATCAGTATAAAATTTTCGAGACTCATTTTCAAAATCATGGGCGTTATACAACAATAAACATCAACCAAGTCATATCTGGTTGTTCACAAGGTTTTCATTAACCTTTCGAAACCCAACTCCACATGAATATTTGCTAAACACTATAGCATGCACATAATATTCAAAAGACAATACCTTTATGAAGAACCAAAACCAATCATTTGACCATAAGTTCTCAAAATACGTTTTGAAAATAGTTCAAAGCATCTCAATCAAAAGAGGTTCTCAG